CTCTTTTTCAAGAACAGCTGTGCCAGAACTATGTCTTGCCCAAGGTCATCCAGCAGCTGCATGTGGAAGAGTGGGGAATCAAGCCCGGTTCTCCCAGATTAGAGTCCAGGCAGTTAACCACTACACCAAATTGGCTCTCTTGTTTGTCTCCAGCGACCCAAAGCAATGGTCCCACATCAAAGGAGCAAGATGAAGTCCTTTGAAGGAAATAAAATTTTTTAAAAGAGCAAAGTTCATTTTTTTTTTTTGCCACAGCCGTCACTGTGAATTTTATCAGCTGGGATCCGAGAGCAAAGGTCTATCTGTTTGATCTTTCTTCCACAGTCTTTTGTGCATAGATGGGGGTGCTAAAAGGAATTATCGTCACACAATGTTGAAGACATTTTGCTTAGGTTTATTTAGTTTTCGAGACATTTCCCTCTTGAGTAAACCAAACAAGAAGAGGAGATTGGATTTATACCCCGCCCTTCACTACTCGAAGGAGTCTCAGAGTGGCTTACAAACTCCTTTCCCTTCCCCTCCCCACAACAGACACCCTGAGAGCAATATTCCCTTGGCCTCATTGGCCCAACATGGTTCAAATCCCTTTATTAGGCTATACCTGTGTATTGGTAGTTATTCCTAACAATATCCTTGTTCCTGTCTGAACCAACGCTTTGAAATAAACCTTGCTTTGAATCAAACGTGGAGTTATTTCGAATGCCTGGGGATCCAACAATGATCCAACATTGGCTTCTCTTATGTTCTTATGGGTGCACCTGGAAGTCATGGTGACCTCTGGTAACTGCCCCCTACTGGGGGCCTGGAGGATATTCAGAGAGGTGGCCGAATAGAGCCTGCCCCCACCTCCCGACTGCTGGTATTCCAAGGAGGCCTCCCATCCAAGTACTTAAGTACTTTTCTCACGGGGTGAGAAAGGTTGGCAATCTTTGGGCTAGAGTGTGGGACTGGGATTTGGAAGGTCCTCTCTGGGGACTGGCGGGAGAGTTACCTTGCTGGGGGGGGCCCTCACTGGTGATGTAATTATGTCCCTGGTGACCTGCTGATGTCACCAGTAATGCGCTGACATCAGTCCCCTCATGCCAGAAACTGACTTCAGAAAATCAATAATTTGAGATGATGAAGAAGAAGAGATTGGGTTTATACCCCGCCCTTCACTACCCAAAGGAGTCTCAGAGTGGCTTACAAACTCCTTTCCCTTCCCCTCCCCACAACAGACACCCTGTGAGGTAGGTGGGGCTGAGAGAGCTCTCTCGAGAACTGCCCTTGAGAGAACAGCTCTGAGAGAACTTGTGACTGACCCAAGGTCACCCAGCAGCTGCAGGTGGAGGAGTGGGGGAATCAAACCCGGCTCTCCCAGATTAGAGTCCGCGCTCCTAACTGCTACGCCACACTGGCTCTCAGGTTGTAAATGTGAAACTCAGCCTCACTGACGGAAAATGAAGTGGTAGTTGGTAAAGCAATTTGGAAAGTTACATCTCCCATTTGTGTTGCTGTAGGGGGAAAAATCCCATACAAGTGGAAATGGATGTTTCAAATGTAAGATGAAGAATTCAGAAGACAGAAGTGGTTATCGCTTCAGGCACCTAGACTTTTATTTTTCACAACGCAAACACCCGTGAGCAAGCAGGATTTCTACTTGCACTTGGAGTTCTAGGGTCAGAACAATGTGCCCCACTGCCAAGCGAGAATGCCGGGAAACAGCTTTGAATTAAAGCCTTTCCAGTAAATCCTCTTTCCCAAGTCTTTTCCCTCTAGCTAGCCTCAAACTGTCAGCTAGAAGAAGAAAAGAAGTTTTTTATACCCAGCTTTTCTCTACCCTGAGGAGTTTCATGCTCTGTGCCAGAATACCAGAGACAAGAATCCAGAAACGGAGAGAGAGAGACACCTTGTAAACAAATGATACAGCAGAGGAGCAAACAGAACATCGAGAAAAATTAAAATCCGGGGGGGGGGGGGATTCATTCTTTGTCTGGTTTTAACAGAGAGCTGGGAATTTGCATCAACCTCGGCGTCTAGTCACGCCGGCCACATGACCACGGAAACGTCTTCGGACAGCGCTGGCTCTTCGGCTTGGAAACAGAGATGAGCACTGCGACCCTGGAGTCAGGTTCGACTGGCTTCCGAGCAAGGGAAACCTTGACCTTTGCCTTTACCTATTTTGGAACGGATAATAGCAAGTCGTATTTATGGGATGTAGTTGAGAGATACGGAACACCCGGCATGCAACTGTTTTGCAGGGTTCCCAGCTCCCGTCTTGGAAATTCCTGAAGATTTGGAAGTGGAGGCTGGGGGGAGGGGCAATGCTCCCTCTAAGCTGCGGAGTCTTGTGAGCAAAAATTCTACTTTGCAAGCGACTGGCATCAAAGTTGTGAGCGAGCGATTTGGCTACTGCATAAATTAGTTGGCTCTGGAGCCCTCCTTCCTGAGCTAAGACAAAAAGGTGTGAGCTGGAGGCTTAAACACTGTGAGCTGGCTCACCATAACTCAGCTTAGAGGGAACTCTGGAGGGAAGGGTACAATGCCACAGAGTCCACCCTCCAAAGCAGCAGTTTTCTCTAGGTGAACTGACCTCTGTCATCTGGAGTTCGGGTGTATAATTCTGGGAGATCTCCAGGCCACACCTGGAGCTTGGCAACCCTACGTTTCAGTGACCTGTACAACATTCCTGTAAAGTAGGCCAGCAATACTAACCCTTACGAAGCATGCGGGGGGGAGATGGCAGCTTGCCTGACGCTTTTGTGTGGGTTCATGACTAACGGAAGATTGGAACCAGAGTATACCAATGTACGCTCTTAGAGGCTGAAGTCGATAGGGATTTTAAAAGTGATATATTTAAGAGCTAAGAGGAGTGAAAAGTGGTGGGTAAGAGAAGGGTTAAACATCCACGACCCAAAAACAGCCTTTTCTCTACAAATATCCCCCTCCCCTCAACAGACAAAGACACATACACTTTGCACATTGCTAAAAAACCCGGACTCGACTGTGCGACTGAACAACAACAACAAAAACCCCCTCCAGTTGAGAAATCGTGCTTTTGGTGCCAAGTATAGAGTTTCAGCCTCGGGGAAGAATAATAGCTGGCTGTTGAATCATGCTAGCTGACGCCTTGCTTGAGTCTGGAAGTGTCCCTCCCCCCTGTTTTGTTAAGATGAAATAAAATGTCACAAAGTAGTGAGTGAGCTTTTGTGTCCCACTGAACTAGAGGAAAGTTTGAGTCCAGCGGCACGCACCTTAAAGACCAACAAAGTTTTCTAGGTATAAGCTTTGGCATGCATGCACACTTCTTCAGATACGTTGGAACAGATTTTGCCAACCACTACCAATGCTCCCTCTAAGCTGTGGAGTCTTGTGAGCAAAAATTCTACTTTGTGAGCTGTTGCAAGCGATTTGGCTACAGCATAAATTACTTTGCTCTGGAGTCACCCTTCCTGAGCTAAGACAAAAATATGTGAGCTGGAAGCTAAAAAACTGTGAGCTAGCTCACACTAACTCAGCTTAGAGGGAACAATGACCACTACATATAGGTTTGAGAAGAAGGAGAAGAAGAAGAGGAGGAGGAGGAGATTGGATTTATACCCCCCCTTCACTACCCGAACGAGTCTCAAAGCGGCTTACAAACTCCTTTCCCTTCCCCTCCCCACAACAGACACCCTGTGAGGTAGGTGGGGCTGAGAGAGTTCTTTCCAGAACTGTCCTTGAGAGAACAGCTCTGAAAGAACTTGTGACTGACCCAAGGTCATGCCAGCAGCTGCAAGTGGAGGAGTGGCGAAATCAAACCTGGTTCTCCCAGATTAGAGTCCGTGCACTTAACCACTACACCAAACTAACTCTTTTATTGTCCGTAAGCTAATTTGCTGCTATTCACGGGTCTTACCAACTGCTTCAATCCAATCTTAGCTGTACTTATTGCTCAGTTACTTGTGCATCTTAACTCAATTTTTGGCAACTACACCACCCATACATAGTGGTTAGCAAAATCTGTTTCAATGTACCTGATGAAGTGTGCATGCACACAAAAGCTGATACCCAGAATTAAATGTTATGGGTCTTAAAGGTTATTGTCCGTAAGCTAATTTGCTGCTATTCACGGGTCTTACCAACGGCTTCAATCCAATCTTAGCTGTACTTATTGCTCAGTTACTTGTGCATTTTGATTCTAATTAACCCTTTTTGGCAACTACACCCCCCATACATAGTGGTTAGCAAAATGTGTTTCAATTTACCTGAAGAAGTGTGCATGCACACGAAACGCTGTCGAATTTTTTACCTCACGGACCACCGCGTCTGGCTGTCCCCCCAAATCAGCACTACCCCTTCTTTCCCTCAGCACTGGTCTTCCTCAGTCAACAGGACCGGTTCAAGGAATTTTGTCACCTCAAGGGAGTCACCGCCTTGGCCTGTCCTACAATCACAAGCCCAGAAAGTGACGCTCGTCGGTCACCTCTCGTGTCACTGAGAGAGAATCAAGCCCCGGCCATGTATCGGTCCCCTCTGCTGTCGAAATTTTTACCTCACGGACCGCCGCGTCTGGCTGTCCCCCCAGATCAGCACTATCCCCTTTTCCCCCTCAGCACTGGTCTTCTTCAGTCAACAGGACCACTTCAAGGAATTTTGTCACCTCAAGGGAGTCACCGCCTTGGCCTGTCCTACAATCACAAGCCCAGAAAGTGACGCTCGTGGCTCACCTCTCGTGTCACTGAGAGAGAATCAAGCCCCGGCCATGTATCGGTCCCCTCCTCATTTTGCCCAGTCACTTGGGCAGCCAGGCCGGAAACTTGGCCCCGCCACTCAGTATCGTAGCCGGTACCTAAACTGGACGTCATACGTAGGCTGCATCACGCCAAACCCATAGCGGGTCTTCTCCAGAGGAGGGACCTCCACGTCTTGGTTAACCAACTGCAGCTCAAAGTAGGTGAGCATCAGAAAGACGAAAAGCTTCATCTCGTTGACGGCAAAGAAGCGTCCAGGGCACATGGAGGTCCCCGCCCCCCAGGGCATGGTGAAATACTTCACCTTTTCGCCGTTCTTATAGAATTCCTTTTTGACGCCGTTTTGGTTCAGGAAGCGGTCGTATCTGAAGACATGAGGCTCGGGGTGGATCTCCGGATCCATGTGCGCCGACAGGTAGGGGAAGATCCCGATCCGGTCTCCTTTGCGCACGGCGTATTCCCGCCCGTCGCTCATCTTGAGCTTCATGTCCTCCTTCACGGCCCTGATCAGCAGAGGGGCGGCGGCCAACCTCAGAGTCTCCTCCACGGCACTGTCCAAGACAGGGGTGTCGGTTAGCATCTCCTTGGTGACATTAATCACCGCCCCACCCGGCTTTACCTCCTGTCCCGATTCCCTCAGCACCCTGTCCACCTCTTTCCTCACGTCTTCCATCGCCTTTGGGTTTTTCATAAGGTGTAGAAGGAGCCAGAAGGATGCTGGGCCGGTGTTTCCTTGGGCGGCCCAGAGAAGCAAAAACATAAACCTGTCCCGCATGTATTCGGGCATCCCCTCCTCAGCGAGCTGCTGCTCCTGTTCCCTCACCCACCCACTGATGTTGTCCTTCTGGTGCACGTTATTTACGGAGAGGAGGCCCCAGAATAGTCTCTTCAAGCGTTCGGCTTCCCGCTTCTTTCCATAGGACAGCGTAGAGGTGGCCAAGCGTGGGAAGAGTTTGTCGTATTTCCGGAATTCTTCGTACACCTCTTCAGAGTGCCGTAGGTCGTCCTTCTCGCCCCCTGGGAGGCCGTTTTCACCTTTACGAGGCTCGTTCCCGTACAAAGCCAGGTATCCAGCTCTAAAGACCGTGTTGTAGCAAAAGTGGAAGAGCCCATCTTGTTCCCAGGGTCTTCCCCCTTCGGCCGAGCCTAGGCTGTGTAGCATCACCGTTTGTAAGCCGTCCATCATCGCCTGAGTCATCACCACGAGCCCGTTCCCTTTGAGGTGCTTTGTGCTGGCACTGTCCATGATCTTGTGGCTCAATGAAGAGGGCTGATATCCAAACACTTTCTCTACCAGTTCTTCCGCAAATTCATTGAAGTCCAGCTTGGCTCTCGCTTCTTTCACCACGGCCCCGAAAGAGAGAGGGTCCATCAGGAAAGTGAAGTGGTAGCCGCCGAGCAGCACGGTGAAAATATCCCCGTGTTTCTTCTGCATCTTTCGCAAGAAGTCCACACCATCGCTCCTGAATGCCAGGGCATGTCCGAGCCAGGGGATTAATCCTTTCTCCAAGGGGGGCTCGTTGGCTCTCCGCTTGCGGAATGCCCCTGCCAGGTAAAGCCCACCGAAAGCGGCCGCTAAGAGGGCACACAGGATCGCCTCCCAGAGTGCCATCTCAGAGAGCTTTGTACCAGAGCTACCCAGGAAGCTGTTTACAGCCAGAAAGTGCTTATAAGGCAGGTCTTATCTGCTTACAAAAGGAGTTGGCAGAAAGAGAGAGAGAGAGAGAGAGAGAGAGAGAGTGTACTGTAATTAACTCTTCATTTTGCATACCGCATTTTCAGCAGGCAAAGCCACAATGCAGGAGCCGGGAACAAGGAACAATAATTAAGTGGGGGCGGAAGGCAGCTCCTTATTCCAATTTGTAACTTTCCGCACAACCCAAACAGAAAGCACGCCATGTTTCAACACTGTAATCACTGCTCAGAGCCAGTTCGGTGTCGTGGTTAAGTGCGCGGACTCTAATCTGGGAGAACCGGGTTTGATCCCCCACTCCTCCACTCGCACCTGGCTGGATGACCTTGGGCAAGCCGTAGCTCTGATAAGAGCAGTCCTTGAAAAAGAGCAGTTTCTGTCTGAGCTCTCTCAGCCCCACCGACCTCACAGGGTGTCTGTTGTGGGGAGGGGAAGGGAAAGGAGTTTGTAAGCCGCTCTGAGACTCCAAGTGAAGGGCGGGGTATAAATCCAAACTCCTCCTCCTCCTCCTCCTGCTCTCTGGCCTTCAAGACCAGTGCCCCCGGAGAAAAAGGCTGCATTGGACAGTGGACTCTATGGCTTTATGCCCTGGCTGAGGCGAGGTCCCTTCCCTGCCTAAACCCCACCCTCCCCAAGTTCTACCCCCAAAATCTCCAGGACTTTCCCAGACCAGAATTGGTAACCTTGCAGAGGGAGTAACTGAATTTATCCTGGTGAAAACAGGGGGGAAAGAAGACTCGTGTGTACTTCAACATTAAAAGAATCATCAGAACAGAAGCTCTTGTGAATTAAGACCCGCTTTTTCGGGTGCGTGAAGTGCATTCTCAACTAGCAGGCTGTCACGATTGATGGAAATGCTCTCCCGCTAGTTTCTGAACATTGAAGAAGAAGAAGAGATTGGATTCATACCCCGCCCTTCACTTGGAGTCTCGGAGCGGCTTACAATCTCCTTTTCCTTCCCCTCCCCACAACAGACACCCTGTGAGGTGGGTGGGGCTGAGAGAGCTCTGACACAAACTGCTCTTTTTCGAGGACAGCTGTGCCAGAGCTTGTGACTGACCCAAGGTCCCATCAGCAGGTGCAAGTGGAGGAGTCGGGAATCAAACCCGGTTCTCCCAGATTAGAGTCCGCACACTTAACCACTACACCAAACTGGCTCTCTACAACGTTGCTGTTGTTGATGTAAAAATGGGGTCCATTTGTTCTTTAGCATAGAGAGTGATCTGTTAGTCCTACGTAGGAGGCAGAAGGGCACTGTGGAACGGTGATGGCATTCATCTCATCGATGGACAACTTGCTGGATAAGCCCCTGATGTAAATGTGAAGGTCTGGGAAGAGCCAGGCTATAAGGACACCACTGGCCCAATTTGTATCTTGCATTTGCTCCGCTGTTTTACCAAACCCACGTTGGGACAGAAACCCCCCTCTGCGATTGCACACGACTTTCACTTTGATTGATTGTCGGATTTTATGGCAGTGTCCAGACTGCATGCCGCTTCCACGTCGTTTCATCTCTTGGTTTTATGGTACTGTCTGCATAGAGTGGAGTGCCGCAGGGCTCGGTCCTAGGCCCAGTGTTGTTCAGTGTTCTTATAAATGATCTGGAGGAACATATAGAGGGGATGCTTATCAAATTTGCAGATGACACGAAGCTGGGTGGGATTGCTAATTCTGAAGAAGTCAGTGTCAGGATTCAAAATGATCTAGATAGGCTGGAACAGTGGGCGGAGACATATAAAACGAATTTCAACAGAGAGAAGTGCAAAGTACACTTAGGTACAAAAGACCAAATGTCCCTACACAGAGAGCAATAGAGTAACACGTGGTTGACCATTTTTTCTCTGTCCAGTTGGCAGGGGTAACCATGTTGGGAGTAAGGGATATTGTGTCTTCCTCCCTTCTACAAGAGCTGATGGTAATGCCTTAAAGTAGGCCAAGGTTAAGGCTCTTTGGGTATTTAGGGAATTCTAAAACTTAGCTAAGCAGGCTCGGCCCTGGCTAGTATTTGGATGGGAGACCACCAAGGAATACCAGAGCGAAGACGTAGAGGCAGGCCATGGCAAACCACCTCTGAGTGTCTCTTGCCTTGTTTGCTGTAAGTCAGCTGTGACTTGACGACGGCAACAATAATGCAAAACACAGAGTTTGCGGGAGCAAAGTTTTTGCCATGATTCCAGATAAGGCTGTGCCACCACACTATGGGTGCGTTCAGACAGGCAGCTAATCCCGCCGTTAGGCCAGTTTGAATTTTATCCCGATCTTTTTAATCCATCGTAGCACGACCAGACATGCCCCTGGTGAAGCAACTTACTGCGCGCTGCCTCCATTGTGTATTGTCTAGACGGCGTCCACTGAAGGAGGCATGCGTGGTGGGTTTTTTAAAAAAAAAACCCCTTTTTGCGCATGCACATAGGCGTCCTTGTTGATCCACGCATGTGAACAGATTTTTTTAATATGGCGCCCGCTCGGGATGGTCTGACATCAGACCACCCCGACGGGAGGATTGCGCGCTGGTGGAACGATCAGATGGGTGAAAGTCCGCAGTTGTCCCGCAGGCAACCGAAAATCCTAGATTTAAAGTGCTATCTTTTAAGTACGGCTCCGAAGCGCGGCAAAACGGGATGCCCACGGAAGAGGGACATTTCCCAGATGTTTGTGTCTGGACGTTACCTTTAGATCCGTGAGGCAATCGTGCCCCGCGCGGATCTAAAGAGCCATCTGATCGGACTCTATGTCTACTTGAAGTGCTATATCCTAGATTCGCGGGTGAATAATATCTGTAAATCCAAGATGGCGTAAGGCCAGGGAAGCAAGCCCATAGAAACGTAGTTTCTCCTCAACAGCTCTCACCCAGTGTGAGAGAAAGAATTCTGAAAGAATTGATGAAGTGCAAGAAAGTATTGCATATATTTCACTCCCCCTAGGGTTGCCAGCCTCCAGGTGGGGCCTGGAAATCTTCTGCTTTTACAACTGATCTCTAGCTGACAGAGATCATCTCCCCTGGAGAAAAGGGCTGCCTTGAAGGGTGGATTGTATGGCATTGTACCATGCTAGGCCCCTCCCCTCCCCAAACCCCATCCTCTACTTAGGGCTGCCAAGTCCCCCCGGGGGCGGATAACCCCCCGCTTTGGAGGCCCGATTTCC